TTAATTATGGTCCACATTGTGATTGTATTTATTTTTCACAGTTTTAGACATTTAACCTCTGAATTGTTGCATGTTTCTTTTTAGTCATGTTTATGTGTTTAGGGTTTATTTTAATTTTAGTCCTTTATGATGTTGATTTGTTTTAGTTTCATTGTTTATTTTGGTGTAATATCCATATGTCCATTTTAATTATTATTTTGTTTGTATTTAAAATTGTAGAGTTTGGTTTAATATAATTTAGTCCTTATTTTAATAGGTACAAATATTTCCTAAAATTTGTAATTTGAGAGGTTATGTTTTTGTTTGTTATGTTTAAGTCACATTGGTACATTACATATCAATAAATATAGTTTATAATTTATAGTTATAACAAATATGTTAATGGAATTTTTGTATTAAAATGTCACGTTGTATGATATTTTTAATTTAGTTTAATTAATTTTGGCATGACATCCACTTTTTGCATAATTTGCATGATAGCCTCACGTGCATAACTCGACTTATTACATAATCGGACTAAGGATAATACACTTTTAATTTAAAATTGTCTTGAGTGGCCTGTCTTAACTGATTAGAGGGTCGTTATGACCATTTTAAATTAAAAGTGTATCCCGAAAGTGAAACTAAAATATCGATTCGTCACCTAAAATTTGGGAACGAAAGAAAAAGAAATGTTCGTTTATTTAAATTTATCGAGAAAAGGTTGTTATAACTTTTAAGATATGGTCTCGATATTTGTAAATAATCGAATATTCTTTATCTTTCTAAAACGACTTGGTAATTTTAATTTAATTTATTTGAGTGCTTTTGAATGTTTTTAAATTTACATCTTTGTTTTATGGGATCAAAAATCAAATTAAATTCGAATTTGTAAAGTTCTTTGCAAACACGTTAATTAATCGACTAGGTACCGATTTAGGGTGCTGTGGGGGTGCTAATCCTTCCCCACACGTAACCGACTCCAGAACTCGGATTTTGGTAACGCATACCTTAATTTTTTGTTTTAATTAAAATTAATTTTTATTTAAAATAACAAACATTTTTGGGTACCCAATCACACCCTAATCAAAGATTGGCGGCGACTCTTTGAACCGTATTTTTTTCGATCGTAAAGGAAATCCAAAATTTTTCGAAACGAGAGGTTTTTAAATCGCATTTGTTTTTAAATTAAAAATCAATTGAAAGAGGTAAATTAAAAATTAACGTGGTTTTCAAAATCTCACTTTTAAAGAAAAAAATCGTTTCGACATCAATACCCTGAAAACATTCTTTAATCTTATACAGGCACTCCTTGAGGTGTTTGCTCTTCTCCCTGCCTGACCAGGGCAGATGAATGCTATTACCTTCAAGTCTATCACCTTGTGCTTCACTTTGAAAGCTCTCATGAACATACATCTAATATAACATAACACTTTAACTCTATTATCAAGACATCATACTCCTTACACTATCATATCAGAAATTATTTCACTTTGTGTTGGCATGTATATTTCTTAAAACACTTTTGACTTTGTTTTTAGCCTATAATCTGCTAAACCGTAGCTCTGATACCATTAAATGTAACACCCCAACCCGTACCCGACCCGGATACGAGTTCGAGATGTTACATTGACTTTTTAAAACAATTTCCTTACAAAATAACTGAACATTTGAACTTATATTAATAAAATACAATAATATATACCATTAAATTATGCTTCATTATAAAAATTTGAAAAAAATATGTACTTATGAATAGTACTATACGGTACGAACAATACCGTGAACATTGTCATGAACATTATCATGAACAGTGAAAAATTTCGAATATAAATTATGTATCGATGCACTGCTACAGTGCTACTACAGTACTTTCGTAAAAATACGTATAAATTCATAAAAACGTAAGCTTCCATCCGTATAAATTACCATTTACATATACACATTTAAAATATTACATATAGGTTTTTAAACCAATTATTATTACAAAATACATACTACTTAATTCTTTTTTGATATGATCTTTGGAAAGGAGGAACTGACCTTTCTTGCATAACTTTTATCAATCATCTTCTTCTCGAAACTTACGTGTGAAACAATCACACGCTAAGTCATAGACTTAGTGAAGCATATAAAACATATAATAAAAATATAGAACATTTCATATAATAAAATGCATACATATACATATACCATCATCATCATAATCTTATCTCTATTTATCATATGATTTTTATACTTATCATTTCTGTATATCATAAACACACATAACATCATATAATTCATGTAACATATTTCATATCTCCAAAACATATATATCATATATATTGTTTTTGTTATTGTCTCTTTATTAGCCCGTGTACATTTTTGAGAACTTAAGGTATTCGAGTACATTGAGGTTGTGCACAAATGTTGTCACCACAACTCGTATAAATTGCACCGAAGTGCCACGTAGAATTTGCACCGAAGTGCCACGTAGAAATGCACCGTAGTGCCATATAAGATTGCCCATAAGGACCACATATAAATTCCTTAAGAATCATATACATATACCAATGATCAAATAGGTGTCTCAAAAGACCTCATACATGCTCCAAAGAATACATATACGTCCCCGAAGGACCACGTAGAATTTGTCCGAAGGATCGCGCAGACCCTCTACTCTTGGCATTCCAACTATACCTATAGCTCTCGTATCATATAACATGGGCATTTTTCTTATGCTTCATAAATTCATGTACTCATATCATTGCTCTTATGATCACATATTTCTTTTATTCTGTCACATATCACATGTGCATATAATCACGTAGTTTACTTTCATGTAATTCATGTCACTTTTCATATGATTTCATGTTCATATGTCACATTAGCTCATAGAATAACATGTCAGACATAACTCATGTATAATGATGCATATAACATATAATCATGTAGGTCATGTCACATAAGAATAACATATAAACTTATTCATATAAGCTCATATATCTCATGGTTCTTTCACATAGTTCACTATCACATTTGTATATCATATATCTTATAATATATTCTCATATTATCACTTATTTCCTTTATACCTATTTACCATCACATAATCATTTAACATATACACTCATAAGAATCACCTCAATCATATAACCTTTTAAGAGTTACTTCTTACCATAGTAACTCCGTCATTGGCTCATCGCAAGCCAATGTTTGATTAATAACATAAGTACAATTAAATTGTACTCACCTTAGCCTTGCTTTGATTTGATCTTAATTCTTTGATTGTTCCGGAACTTGTTTAGGCTCTATATCTACATAAACATGATTTTCAAGACAATTATCAGAAGCCTAAACCTTATAACTTGGTATTAATAACTTAGGCTAATTTAATGAAACAAAATTCCATTTTTCTTAGGGGGTTTATCGATGCACTATAGGGTGCATCGGTACCCAAAATAGCTTCGAATTTTTCATGCATCGATGCACCCCTTAATGCGTCGATTCACCTTCAAAATTTATCTTAGTGCATCGATACATACTCATAGTGTATCGATACACCTATCCAAAATAGGCTATTTTTACCCGAAATTCATCAATACTTCACCCAAATTTTCATGTATAAAATCCTTATTATGCTACTAAACTCATCTATAACAACTTTAACCAATTCCTATCATTCCAACACTTGATAATTTCCCAATTTTCATCCAAATTCTTAAAGTTAAAAATCATACCAAATTTTCCATGTTATCCAAACTTAATTCTAACACTTCTAACTTCTTATTCTCATGGATGACAAGTCAAATTCATCATCCAAATTCATTTAAACCTTCTTATTCAAAATTTCAATTAAAACCCCATTTTCTGTAATCTTTCATAACTTCTTCATCTTTTGATTTTAAGACAAATTAAGCTTTCCTTAAGCTTAATTATCATCTAAGGATCAAAACCCAACTTAAATTTCAGCTAATAATCAACAACGAAGAAATCGTACCTTTTGCTTGAGCTCTCACGTGGAGAAGGAAGAAGAAAGAAGAGAAGAAGAGAAGAAGAGAAGTGGAGAAAATATCTCATTCATCTTATCCCCTCATACATATATATCATCATTTTTTTAAAGTCAAATGACCATTTTTCCCTCTCATTCTTTTAATAATTACTAATAACCCTTCAGAAATTATTTTTAAATAAGTCATTGAACTATTCAACTTTTCCACTTTAATCATCAAATTCTGAAATTTTACAATTTAGTCACTAACCCGGTATTGAAGATGTTACAAATAGTGGTGTTTTTCATACACACGCCACAATTGACGCGTAAATAGTGGCGTTTGTTATACAAATGCTGCAAAAACGCATACATTAGTGGCGTTTTTTCTCAAAACGCCGCCAAATGATAAATATATCTCCAGTATTCTCATGCTTGATCCCTAAAATCTTTTGAACCTCTTCTTTAAAACTTCTTCTTCGTCCATTCTCTGGTACAACATCTTCTCCAACTCAGTGCGACGATCACCATCATCACGCCAAAAGCCTTATTTATCTTTGCCACGCACTATCCTTCTCGCTTTCATTTCTATTCTCTCGTCATTTTCTGATTTTCTCGTCATTTTCACTAAAGACGTCATTTTCTGTCTCTCCCAGCGACCAAATCGGGCCTCTCACCAGCGAGAGATTGTTACTTTCTTTTCCTCTTCGCCACTATAACACGAATCCAAGGTTTGTTCCCTTCTCTCACTACTGAACATTTTGATTTTTCTAAATCTGGGTATTTCTAGAAATGGGGGAAAACCAAGCCTACAAGGCTATGCAAAGAGAGTTGGCTCTTCCTCAGCTGGCGTTGAAGAGTTCGAGGATGGCATTGTTTGTACCCTTCCTCAGCTGTAAGTTGTAAACGACGTTCACATTGATTGTGAATTATTATTTTGTCTTGTTGGAAAATTGGATTATAATTATTTTGATGGCTACAAGTGTTAACTTCTTACACATATGGTTTATCTTCATGCATTTCTTGTTAAATGTGTAATCAAGCCCCAACGCTTTCTTGGTGTTCTTGTTGGAGATGGGCGGCTGGGTGGTATATCTGGAACTGTTTCAGCTTATGAGAGTTTGAAACTATGAGGTTATGATGTTGTTGTTATTGTTATTGAAGATCATGGCCTTGCAAATGAAATACTATTAATGTCATATTTGCGTACGAGGTAGTTGAAGTTCTTTAACTTTATTTTTTCTCTTCATTTGGACTTCGACTCCAATCCTTTACTTTTTCTGTTATACACCACTAGAAGTAGTCAAAAGTTGAGGCAATATCAGCCTTGGTCATGCTATGTAATGGGTTATTAACTTATATTCTTTATTCTTCCTAGAGTGCCTATGTTTGTGCTGCCACCCATTCCACAAGACCCATCAAATGACCTAATGGAATGGTTTGATGAATCTTGCAATGTATTTAATTATTTGAAAGATATAATGCTGGAAGCTTATTTAGAAAGAATACAGAGACTTAATGAGATTCCGAGAAGAGCTAGAGATGTTTTCTGATGGCCATTCACTCAGCACAAACTTGTACCACCTTCTAATGTCACAGTCATTTCATATAATATAAGACGGCCAGTAGCCCAACTCACTTGTATTTTTCGTGTTATACTATACTTTTCCACTTTAGGATACAAGTTTTTTTGGTTTTTCTTTCTGACGTTAATTGTCAGGTTCTGATATAAAAAATAAATCCTCGCTTTTCAGGTTCGGAAAAACTGTGCTAGACACATACTTGAATCCAATACTCACTTAGAGTAACATAGCTTAATTCTTTCCCAGACATGAGGTGCAATCTACTTTATCTACTTTGCAGCTGTCAGTTGTTGGAAAAAAATGTGAAGACTTTCAAAATCAACTTCAAGTTATGATGCTTATGATGCAGATGATACGACAAAATCAACCGCAGAGTCCACCATCTTAGGTGTTATTTTAGATATATGTTTTTTTCATTCTAGTTAACAATATTGAACTACATTATATTTCACTTTAATGTAAACTTTGATTTATTATTATGGATTCAAGTTTGTTGTTATGCTACAGATTAAACTTTCAAATTTGGGTAATAAAATAGCAGAAAACAACATTTGAAAAATTAGTTTTAATTAGCGACGTTTGCATAATAAAACGCCAATACATGGTCAATACCGACGTTTGTAGAACAAAATGCCATTAAAGTTCAAGATCTTTTGCGGCGCTTTTACCAAAAAGCCACTATATGTAGTCAATAGCGGCGTTTACATTCACAAACGCCACTATATGTTAGAACATTTAGCGACGTTTGAATCATAACCTTTAGCGGCGTTTGTGAACTAACGCCACTATATGACTGAAACAAAATGCTGCTAAAAACCTGTTTTGCTATAATGCACCCTGAAATCCTGATTTTTTTCTATTAGTTGTTCATTTTACTATTGGTGTCGATCCTGAAATTTTATTTGTGTTTATCTTACGAAAAATTCAATAATTAATATATGTGTGCCCACCCTAAAAAATATTTATAAGTTCTCCACTTAATCAGTGAGTATAGAGTTGTTGGAAGTGGTACTTCATTTATGTTTATAATCATGTTGAAAATGAAATGCAAGTATTTTATTCATATTCATTTGGGAGTGCATTGACCTCTCAATATGGAAGGCAATGTCACCCCCTCATTCGCCTAATCTTAGTGGAAAGAATGTTATTATTGTGTGAAATCCCACTATTTAATCTTTTCTTCGGAGGATCAAAACCCACTGATTCTTCTATTAAAAAGGTTAAATTATGTTATTGGTCACCAAACTATTAAATCCTTCATTATCATCGAATATTTTCTACAAATTTAGTCAGTCACATTACATTTTTTTTACTTGATCACTAAGAAAATTTCAGAGATGATGATGAGCAGGTATGGTATAGTAATAACTGTAGCCTCTAAAACTTAAGCATTGTATTCATTTGGTCCTAATTTAAACAAATCAATAAATTTAAACCTTCAATTCTTATCAATTTAGTCCTCATTTTAATTCTAAATAATTTAATAAATTTAATCGTTTAATGACATGAGAGCACATGTCATTATCTTAATAGTGATAACTAAGAAAAACATGAAATAGGTTTAAAAAATTCAGACTTGGGAACTAAATAATAATGTCATGCTTAACCGCTGGATCAAGCTAAACATTTATTATATAGTTGACAAAAGTAATATTTAGCTAAAAATATTTAATCGTTGCACCAAACTCATTATTTATTATATGATTGACACAAATAATATATAAGAAAAATTACAATCGGAGTTAATTACATATTTAAAAGAATTATAAAAAATATATATTTTTATTTAACTATCAATATTCGATTTATTTGATCAACTAATCTATGATAGATGTTGTATAAATTCATTATGGGAGTGTCCCTCCCAACTTATTATCCATTAACAATTTCAGGATTCAAACTACAATTTTATCAATAGCTTATAAAATTTAATAATATAAAATAAACTATGATTTAATTATTAAAAATAATAAATATATATTTGAGCTTGTGTCATATATCTTAGAATCTTAGTTCGTCTCCCAAATTTAAGTTCGCACTCTAATATAAAATCATGGTTACATACTTGCAGAGATTAAACAATGTGACTTTCAACATAGAACTCATATAGAAAATAAATTAAAATAAATGATATGGTTATAACTAGGGGTGTTCAATCGGTCGGTTTGGTTAATCGACTGAACTAAACTTTCAAAATTTTATTAACTAATTTTTTTTCACTTTAACTGTTAATCGAACCAAATTTTTTTTCAAAAATAATTTACCGAAACGAACAAAGTTCGATTAATTGGTCAGTTAACCGAATTAACTGAAAGTTTAAATAATATGTATTATATATTTAATACTTTTGACTAATTCGATTATTTTGGTGGTTAATTCGGTTAAAACCAAAATTTAAACACTCCTAAAGTGATTAATATATAAATAATATATTAAATATTTAAAAAATTTGGTTAACTCAGTTAATTAACCGATTTCGAATCGAATTAACTGATAAGTGAACTTTAAAAAAATATTAAGCGTTAACTGATCGAACCTAAAATTAACCGATCGATTAACAAAAAAAAATTCGATTCGATCAGTTTAATCGGTCAACCGAAATTTTAACACCCTAATTGTAACATTGACAGATTTGGAACTAAGTAAAGTACCAATTCCATAAATGCAAGGAGTCGACCAAGAATAAAAGAAAAAAGAGAACAAAAACATCCCACGGGATGAATTTGTTTGCAGTCAATAGAGCAATCAATTGGTTTGGTGCTGCTAAAGCAAAAAGTGTAAAATGATTGGGAACACACATTTGAATGTTAGATTCAAAACTTCACGACAAAACAATAACGATGAAAGGAATTATGTAACGAAAAACAATATTATACAAATATCAAAATTCATCTATAATATTTTATTGAATAATTATTTTAATCGTTATTTCACTTTAATCTCTAACATCTTGTTTTAGGTTAAAATATTTTTTATCATATAAAAATTATTAATTAACTAAAAATCAATACTTATCACTGAAATAACAAGTCATACTTATAAAAATGCTTATATGACATTATCACGTGTACATAATAATGATATATCACATGCCATATTTTCAAAAGGGTGTTATGGTATATGACACATGTCTAAAATGTCATCACTTTGAATACGTAGCATATCATATTGTCACTTAGACACGTAGTGGGTTTTGCCTACACTTTGGACATGTGACATGCTTTCACTTTAAAAATATGACATGTCAAGTCAGTGTTTTGGACACACGTTATATACCATGTCAGTACTTTGAAAATTATGTATCCTTTAATAGATTAACTAGTCTCATTCGGATGTTATTTCATTGAAAATCAAAATTGAACATACTCTCTCTTCGAGCTTGACCAATTAATAAAAAAAATCAAGTTTAAGTAGATAGATAAAATAGTTTTTTAGACTTTTAATTTTGATTTTTTATGTACAAATTCTAAATGGAGATTGATAAATTCTAAACGTAGGACGACAAAAAAATGTAGAATATAGAAAAGGAAAGAATTTTTTTTACGTTTTTTTTATTTCATCAATTCTATTTATATATCATAATATATATTGATCCTAATCTATCCTATATCTTATAGATTTGAATGGAGACATAAAAAAGAAATGCACCAATAAATTAAATACAATTTTTTTTGGATAGTGTATGGAATATAAATAAAAAAACTGAGGTCATCCTTGATAGGCTTCCCACTCGGGACAGACTTATTTGAATGGGGCTAACCACTTAAGGTTCTTGTATCTTATGCAATAATGGCCTTGAAACTAGAAATCACTTATTTACTGATTGTATTATGGTTGATTCTCTTTGGTTTAGAATTCTTAATCTTTCCCTTTTGACCAAACCGCATATGTCTTGGGAGCACAAGCTTGCTTGGGCTATCTCTTGTTGGAAAGGTAAATCTCTCCTGTCTACTATTTTGAAGATTGCTTGGAGCTCTTTCATCTACTTTGTTTGGGAAGAAAGAAATAGACGCCTATTCCAAGGTAGATTTAGAACCATGGATGATTTGCTCATTTCTATTAAGGAGATTGTTGGTTCTCAACTTAGGAATAGAGATCTTAATAGGCTTGATTTTGTTAATATGCAACTTTGTACCAATTGGGGTATAGGATAATCATTTGTAAATAGTTTGTCTTTGATCCTCGATTAGGTTATCTTGTACTTTTCTCTTTTATGGATAATAAAATTTTACTTATTCAAAAAAAAAACTTATATCATATTAATTTTTATTTTATTTTAGCTGATACTATATCATTATTTATGTACATATAATAGTGTCACGTCTTAGATACATAAGACTTACTAAAAAACAATAATCATTAATCAAATAATAATTTTCATCAAATTAAATACAATTTTAATTTAAAATAAAATATTAAAATGGATAAAAAAAATACTATAACGAACTCCTTGACATACTATCATATGTTAAAACATGAGAATTAACTAATGAACACCGGACCTCATAAGAAAAGTACCATCATATGTGCATGGGCATGGAGGACTAATGATGCCAATAAACACATGACCGTTGCAACCATCTCAAACATCAAACACAGACAACATGGGAATAATTGGGATGGAACAGTGCAAATGGGGTTAGATAGCTAGCTCTTAGCTTTTTGTTAGAAGTCACCTTTGTTTTTCTCAATTCTATCTCAAATGGGGTTAGATAGCTAGCTCTTAGCTTAATGAAAGGGTAAAATTTTATTTTAACCCCTAAATTTCATATAAAATTTTAATTATAGATTTCTTTTTGTAAATCTAAAATAGTTTAAGGATAAATTTGTAATTTAACCTTCATAGAATTTTTATTATTCAATGACAGAAGAATGATAGTTTTAAAAAAATTACGGACATTTTAGTCCAAAACACCGGTAATCTAACAATATCTAAGGAAATGGGTAAAGACATTCCATGCAATATACCCAAAAAATATACTATTGACAATAAAATATTACCGGAAATGAGACTCTCAGCCAATCAAATATGGAAATGTGGATTACATTCCTATAAAAATCTCATATGACTTAAACCAAACAGCCCTAAGATAGTAGTTAAAAATGGTGACAAAAAGAGCATTCGGCTCATATGTATGCTTTTATTACACACATTTTTTTACAGTTGATGATTTTTTGTTCACTATGATTCCTGCCGAACTACAGATGCAACAATTCTAGCCCAAAACATGAGATGCTTCTTCATATCAGCAGCCGCATAGACCCTTGGTCTTAAATTCAGCAATGGAGAATCGGGTCTTTTAATCAGCCAAGCCTCTGATAAATACGGTCTTACAACAACTCTCTTCTTCTCTTGTTCAAATCCAAGCCTGAGCAAGCCAGGGACAACACGGATCATGGTCGGGTTCAAGTGTTCTTTGGTGAATGTAAATCCAAGATCCATGAACCCTTTCACTTCTTCTAGTTCCAAATCTTTCAAGCTCCTAAAACTCGTGGATTTTCGCGGTTTGCATCGATTATTTATGCTCTTATCACGTTTTTGAGTTGGTGGTGATGATGATGATGATGAAAAAGAATGTGAAAGACTATGATTCCCTCTCCTTGATCTTTTCTTCACTTGTTCTTCCTATAGAATTGATCAACATGAAAACAATAGCAAAAAATGAACAAAAAGAAGTAGAAAAATATGTTCAAAGATTGTCGAGGAGAATCGGTTATTTACCGGTGCTGGTTCTTGTTGGTCTGCAGCAGATGATAAAGAGGGGCTTTAGTAGATCTGAGTAGGGTTGCTTTGGTTCAAGTTGGTTTTCTGGGAGAAGAATAATCTGTTGGAACCAAAGGCGATCCATGGCTGCTATGAGACATGAAGACAAATTGTTAGCCATTGAGAGGGGGGATATGGAGAGTGGAGAAAGGGTTGTTTAAAAAGGGAAAAATCAGAGAATCAGCATCATTGTGCATGTTGTTGAAAGAATAAGGAAAAAAGCAGTGGAATATAGAAAATGAAAGATACTATTTGCTGCTTTCATGTCAATTTATATGGCAAATAGTGGACCGAACCAATCAAGAACAAGCAGGTGGTGTAAACAACTAAACACTCATAATTCATGGCTCCCCTTTGTCTAAATCATGCATGAAAGATATATATCTGCTTTTTAGCTGAAGTTATCCAATCCGTGGGAGTAAATGTATTCAGAGAAGTACACGGTATAGATTTACTGTGATTAAGTACCGCACATCTCAATCAAATAATGGACTGTGTAGTATGATGTGTTGACCCTAAAATTCAAAATTTCTCCTAATAGTTATCTATTTTTTTATTATGTTCACTCTAAAATTCTATTTATAAAAACATCACATATAAAAATTGTGTTGTTAATATAGGAAAGTTTTGAACTGAGTTATGGTGGTGAGGAGGTGGATGCCAATGAAAATGGAAATGAAAAGCAGGTAAACGGTGGCAAGTGCATAAATTATTTGTCCCTGCCTTTGCTAAGATTTGTTGAGACTTCGATTACTGAATCAAAATATATTTTACTTTCCGTATATACAATAGCAAAATTTAGTGAGTTTACATTGTTTTACTGTATTAATGATCATGATAGCAACAAGGGCATTTGGTCTAGTGGTATGATTCTCATTTAGAGTGCGAGAGGTCTTGAGTTCAATTCTTAAAATGTTGCGGATCCTTAGAAGTCAAAAGTTTGAACATGACACTTATAGGGGTCTTTGAGTGTGTTGAGAATCTTTTGGATATATATTATATAGTGTAATTAGGGATGTACATAAGACTCAAACCATATAGGTTCCGCCCTGACTCGACACTAGTTTTCTTTAAATTCAGGTTTGGGTTCGGGTTGAATACTTTTTAGAGGATATATTCGATTTGGGTTGAGTTTAGGGTAAAAAATATCTTACCCAACCCGACTCAAAAAATTATATAATTATATTTAAGTAAAATTGTAATTGTACCCATCTATATATTATTTTTTTCATGTAGATCCTTATTTTTATAGAATAAAGGTATTTTTTTATAAATATATTTTTTGGGTCAGGTCGGGTCGGATAAAGTTATCCTAAACTCAGGTTGGGTCGAGTTTCGGAGGGAGGGGTATATTTTTCCAGATTGAGTCAGATTAGCCCGATCCATGTCCATCCCTAATAGTAACCACCCAAACAAATAAAATAAATTCAATTTTAAGTTAACCCTAAGACAAACATGCAACTACACATGCTAAATTATAATCCATTTTTCTTTAAGGATCAAAGTGGGAAAAATGAAAAATTATAAGATTAAATGAATATTTAAACCAAATCAGAAAATAAGTTGACTCCGTGGTCTGTTGTGCTTCTGTTTTTGAAATCAATTATTCTTTGAATCTGGAGTTGTTTCCGTTGTCGACGGGAGGAAACAAACAGAAACGAAGAGAATCAAACTCTTCTTCTCCGCTCAACTTCCTTCCAATCCAGATAGCTACATTGCTTGATCTGTTAACTAGAAGAAAAGATGAGTGTGATCGATATATTGACAAGGGTAGATGTAATCTGCAAGAAGTACGACAGGTACGACATCGAAAAGCAGCGAGACCAAAATGTCTCCGGCGATGATGATTTTGCTCGCGCATACGCCGCCATCGAAGACGACATTGAAGCCGCTCTTGAGGTAGCTCGAATCTAATCTAATGTTTTCTTCTTATCTTTGTTGATGTTGTTAGGTTTAAGCTTGTTCTACGAGTAGGTTAATTGAGATTTAGAGAGTCTGTCTTTGTCTGCTTAATCGATCTTTGTTTCTCGAGAATTAGGGTTTTATGCCTTCGATTTGAGTTATGTTTGTGATGTTTTGATTTAGAAAGCGGAACATTCTTCCAAGGAGAAAAGTAAGGCATCTGCTGTTGCAGTGAACGCTGAGATCCGTCGAACCAAGGCTCGATTGCTTGAGGAGGTCCCTAAGCTGCAGAGATTGGCTGTTAAGAAGGTTAGCTTTTTTTCCTCTTTAAAATTTCCCAAATTGTTTAACAATGTATTGTAAATGTGAGCTCATTTACCTGTTGATAGATTGGTAATGTTGTTCAAGAAAACAGAATTGGCATTTTCTATAATGTATTTTAGATTGGTAATGTTGTTCAGGCAAACATTATTGACTTTTTTCAATGATGTATTTTGTTTTTAGTTTTAACTTGTTTAGGGGGTATATGGAATATACTATTGTGGATGTGAGAGTTGACTAGTTTGGACTTCCATTGTGATAGATTTTGAAATTCATTTACAGGTTAAAGGGATTTCAACTGAAGAGATGGCTGCCCGTAATGATCTGGTACTTGCATTGCCAGACAGGATTCAAGCTATACCTGATGGAACTGCTGCTCCTAAACAAACTGGAGGCTGGATGTCTTCAGCACCTTCAGCTTCTCGTACTGCAATTAAGTTTGATTCAGGTGATCTTTAACTCCATTGAAATTTTTTGTTGAGTTTATTGAGATTGTATATAGGTAGGCTCCATGTTTAGCTGTTTACTAACTGTTCCAACTTGCCAATCTTTAGATTTATATCTTTGTTTGTACCATTTTGACTAAAACTGAACACTTTATATGCTGTTATCTTTTTCTCCTTTTGCCTTTTGTTGTTGGGGAGGGTAGGCAGGGTGAAATGGTTCAGCTTATTTGGTGGTGCCTTAAGTAATGATTGAGGAACACTGTTTTGTCTTTTAATTAGCTGATGCTAACATAAGATGAAAAGTTGGGAAAATTGGATTAAGAACAAGTTTGATTCGAATATAAAAGAGAAGAATTTGGAAGATAAAAATGAAATAAAAATAAGAGTAGGAACTCAATAGATCTGTGGAAAGAGGGAATGAGCATTTGATTCGAATATATTTAAAACTATTGTACGTCAACTTTTATATCTTTGAGAATAATTAGAGGCTGCTGCTTAGCTTATGCTCATATCTGCAAAATTATTACACTTTATTCTTTTTTCCATCTGGTTTACGGTGAGAAATTCTCAATCTCATAGTTCATAATGGTTGGCTTATCATTTACTCTAAATATCTGTGGAACTTTTGTCTAGAACATCTTTTTCCGTTTTGTTGTAATTACATTTTCATATTGGTCATAGATGGAAGATTTGACGATGAATACTTTCAAGAATCTGAGCAATCAAGTCAATTCAGGCAAGAGTATGAAATGCGGAGAATCAAGCAGGCACGACAAACATGTTTGGTCCCTAATTTTATGAGCATCCTTCCTATTAGAAGGAAGCTTGGCTGACTTTTAACTGCACACCACATTCTTTAGCTATAGTTACCTTTTGTTTCTTTTGACATCCATACAGGACCAAGGTTTGGATATGATTTCAGAAGGTTTGGATACTTTAAAAAACATGGCTCATGATATGAATGAGGTAAAGCTGACTTGATCTTTATTTATGAGTATAAATATTTGTTATCTTGTTCTTTTTGTCAAGTTATTGTAATATTCATGCGGATAATTGTATCCTGTGGAATCTGCAGGAATTATATAGGCAAGTTCCTTTGATGGATGAAATTGACACCAAGGTAACATCATGGTCATCATCTTGTTGTACATTGTATGAACTGCTTAATGAATGCAAATTTACAATATAAATTCTGTTCTTTTCATATTATAGGTAGACAAGGCGTCTTCTGACCTTAAGACACCAATGTTAGACTCAAAGATACTGTCACCAGGTGATTGATTATAACTCATTAGTTGTTTATTCCCATCCATTTCAGCTTTTTTTTTCTCCTTTGCTGTATGTAACGTAAGTTATTGGTTGTGCAGTTGAGATCCAGCCGAAATTTCTGTATTGATATCGTATTGTTGTGCATAGTTCTGGGAATTGCTGCCTATTATACAAGTAAGATTCTTTCTCATGCCTTTCATTTTAGAAAGTCCCATCTAAACTAACTGAAAACCGTATCTGTATTACAGATATACATACAATTTCGTTTTAGTGGAACTTGCCATATAGCATGTTCAGTTTCTTTTTTATGATAGATGTTGGATTTTTTTAGTAATGATTCCATTGATGGATTAACAGACATGTTCTCATTTTTTTAGCATGGAATCACCTTTAACTGTTCTTTATTTGCAGTGTTCTGAAGAAGTGAAGTGATAAAGGATTCATCTGTGTTTCCTGTTTGTTATCGGCTTTTTCTGGTGGGTTTGTTTTCATGCTTGATCTTGTATTTCTATTCATTTGTGGGAGTCGTTGTTCACACGGGAAAAACGTGAGTCATCTATTGACACAAAATTCAGAGAACCTAAATGTTGTATATCATGGAGCTTCCAAAGATTTATTTGCATTCGTTTAAGGAGATACTTCTGCCTTCATGTCTCTTCTTTAAATATGTTGCTAAAAAATCCATCATCACCACATATGCAGAGCATTACAGATTGTAATTGATCAAATCTCTTGAAGCCAAAAGTTGTGTTGCCTAGACAGACAGACAAATGCTTTGATTGAACCCTCCATAGTGCATGCATCTGAAACCAATTCCGGAATGGAGATTGAGGTAAGTGAAAAGCGGAAGAAATAGTTGATAGGTATATTTGAAGTGGCAGCACTGTACAGCTGAATGGTAAATAAGCGTAGTTGCTAGATTTGAATCAATGAATAAATAGCTTCTTGTTGCTGGTTGGGACGAAACTAGTGGTCCTGGTACCTTCCACGGACTCTCTTTACGAAGGGTTAGAGAGAATTTGTGGAGATGAAAATGAAATCTGTAAATTCTTGTTATCAGAAATGGCTTCCTGGACTGATGTGGAGGATTTATCACTGCCTTGGAAGCTCATGATTGAGATCGTATCAAAGCAAGGCAAGGCAAGGCAGGTCTTGAGATATAAAATTGTAGGGCAACATTTGG